TTGACCCCCCGCCCTCTGGTGGCGTCTTGCTCTGGAAGGAGGGGCTGCGCTGCACCCCATAGCCCAGGGGCTCCCCAGGCACCAGCAGGTGAGGCCGACTGTAGTGCGCGCCCTGCAGTGGGAAGTGCACCCCTGCGGCCTCAGCACCAGCTGTGGCATAGCCCTTGGGCTGGTGCTGGTGGCCAGACACGCCATGTGGGGCGACTCCGGGGAAAAGGAAGTCCACATACGGCCGTGTGGGCACCTCCTCCAGCGCGGCCGGGCCCTCGTAGGCAGCACTGCCCAGCTGATGGTAGGGTGGAAAGGAATCGCCAGTCCCTTCGAAGCTGGGCCTCCGTGTTACTGGAGCTGGCACGAGGCCCTTTCCTGCAGAGGAAGATGGGGAGATAGCATCAGAGGGGATGTGATCGGGGAGGTCCCTGCCCTAACACTGTCCTTGGGGCTGAGTAACTGCGTGGGGTCTTCAACAACTGAGATCCTGGTGTCAGGGCCACCTTCTACTTGGCCTGCAGGAACTAGTTACCCACACGTGGCATGAGCGGGTAGCAGGAGGACATGGGAAGGTCCAAGGCAATAAAGACGGCAAGTCGTAGTCTTGCTGGGGGTGCGCCCTCGCCCCCCTCCGAGGACAGCTCCCAGTATCCCTCAGACCCACCCCTGGCTCACCACCCTGCCTCCTTAGGGAGCCATCTGGACAATCAGCTTTGTTTTCTCTATGACATGCCCTTGTTTAGGAGGGCTGTGTTTACCATCACAGGATTCCCAAGTCTGCTTTTCCCTAATGCAAAGGGCAGAATTGCACCCACTGTCCAAATGTCCACTTTTCTTTCACCTCTTTTCCAAATTAAAGATTTTTCTGTTTTTTTTTTTGTCTTTATTAAAATAAAACGAAACAAAATGTACACAACAGTAAAAGTCACATAAACATCCCTACCAATACCCAGATTGATTTCAGCTGCTGCTTCCTTAATCCTGACTTTTCCATTTTGAAAATCTCTCCTTGTTTGAAATAGATGGCCTGAAAGGAAGGACAAAGCGCCTTTCATTTCCTGCATGCCAACTGCTCTACTTGATCTGGCAGAGGACAGCACAGAGTCAAAAGGCTGTGCCTCGCCTGCAGGAGACACCCTCCTGCAAGGAATGTCGAGCAGCATGAAGGACCGCTGGCCACGGCATGGAGTAGCTGTCACAGCCAAACAGCAGCCTCGCTCGGCCTGGGCTAAGATATGTCAGTGAATGCGCTGCTCCGAGGGTAAACAGACGGAGCGGACTGTAAGATCTGACCTGCTGGGGCTGTTCAGAAAGCTAGGCTGGACGCCCCCCTTCCTGTTCTTAGCAGACCGTCTTCACCCCCAAGGCTGCTGGTCGGGGCTCACCTGGGGAGGTTTGCTTGATGACTCGCACGATCTGCTCGTTCCTTGGGTCCAGGTAGCCCATCTTACTGATGTACTCCAGGGCGGCTTCGATGCTCCTGCTGCCAGTCTGCTTGAGCGCTCTGCCCGCCATCTCCTGGGAGGAAAGCATGGGATGTGTGAGCGCACGTCAAAGAACAAAGTCCCTGGTGACTTCTGCTCCCACTGGGCCTGGCTGTTGCCACACTTCGCCTCTCTGGGACTGCTGGGGTCCTAGTGTCTTGCAGATGACTCTCAGAATGAGCACAGGTGGCTGCATGACAAAAGCCAAGACACTCCATGGCAAAGACTATTTATGTCAAGAATATACAGGAATTGTGACAGAGGACCTGGAAGAAACTTAGGTCGTAGAAAACTTCTGGCTTAGGGCTGATGAACCTAAAACTAGAAAAGTTTAATGGGAAGAATGGTAGGAGTTAGGGAACTGGAGCTCAAACCCCAACTCACCCAGGTGAACTGAGACCAGTTGACTTCTCCCCTGGAGAGGGTGTGGCTGTCAGAGTCACTGATGAACCAGGTACTGAATGCCAACCGTTTACAAAGCTCTGTGCCACCCCGCAGGGGATATTCCCTTAGGGTCTCAACTAGTGGGAGAAAGACGACACGCAGGACTGGTGCCCTGGAGCCATGGTGATACAGGGCAGGTCTCTTAAAGCAGAGACCAAGGGCCACCATGAGAGGGTGCAAGTGAAGTGGATAAGGGTCAGAGGAGACAGTCTCCTTCCACCTGAGGGAAGGGCAGGGTGGAGAGTCCCAGCAGGGATGAGGTATCCTCGGCTGGTAGAACGGTCAGAGTGGAGGCAGGAGAAACAGGCTGGGTACAGCAGCCTATGGAGGCCTGAGGAGATGGGGGACGGACCCATAGGCTGTGTCCAAACTGTCACAGGGTTTTGCTTATTTGCAGGCAATCACGGAAGCTTGTAAACCAGAACAACATCAGATCCCTCTGAAAGCACCTGCAGGGTGCAGAGCTCAAGGGACTCTGAGGTGGAGAACAGGCAGAGGGGCTGGGAGTGGTGCAGCAGCTAGCTCGGGGACAGGGCAATTACAGCTGTGACCCCAACTCCTCACCGAAGTTACAGCTCCGCCTCTACAGGCAATTGTGTGTGTGTGGTGGGGAGAAGAACACCATGGTAGCTGGAGGTTGGAGGCTGGCTCTGCCCAGGCAAAGCAGGCAGGGGCAGCAGAAGGGGGTTCAGCAAAAGGGGAGTCCATGGGAGAAAAGAATGCTATAGCATTTTGAAGATCAAAGGGGAGAGTGGCAGGAGGAAGAAGCTGACAATGCAGATGGGGGGGCAGTGAAAGAGAGACCACCTTCACTCATGCAGGGAGGAGAAAGGGCTGAAATTGCAGAAAGATCCCAGGATAGTGGGGGAGGCCATCTGGGGCTGTGCTGTGGTAGCAGAGAGTTCCCTGTGGCAGCAGAGAGCCAATCTGCAGATTGAGGCACGGCCCTGTGTCCTCGCTGCCCTGGACAGGGCACACTGTGACCTTTATCACAATCTGCCGTCTGTTTGTGCATCTGTCTGCTCCCTGAGGACTGGGAGAACCTGGTGGGGCCTGAAATTCCATGTTACTCATGGCTGTATCCACCCACTTAAAACAGGGCCTAGAACAAATAAAGTGCTTAATTACCCATATGGTCATCTAATATTAAATCAAGCTTTCCATTCCTAGCCATATGCCAACTGAGTGGTATGACAAGACACACTGTTGTTCTTGGCTGGGGACTGTGCCCATGTTCTTAGCAATGTGACTGTGGGACACTGCAGTGTGGGCAGAGGAAAGGGACCACAGCAGGAGCCCGAGAGGGCAGTCCTGAGGAAGAACCCTGGAGGGTAGCTGTATCTGAGTGGAGGAGAGAGGTATACAGTTCAAGAGGCAGAGCGGGCCGCAGTAATATGAACACAGCCGTTTTGTTCAAAGAGAAGCTTGGACTGACAGGCAGGTGTTGACAACCTGGAGGTACATGGACAGAAGGCCCCAGAGGCTCAGAAGTGAGGCACGTCCTGCCTCACCTGAGATGGGAGACGATGCTCCAACAGGCTACTTCACAGCTGTGCTATGCAATGAGATCATGTCTGCAAAAACTCTCAACGGCTTGGGGGAAGATGCGATAAAGACCACATCTTACCAGGATCACCCTGGAGCTCTGGGCACCCAATAGGAGTAGACCCCAAGCAGAAGCCGATCAGCACACACTGTTCCCCGGCCTCACCCGGAAGGTGGTTGCTGCTTTTCCTCAGGGTTTACCAGGAGCATGTGTTCTTACTTCGGTACTTGCCACATGTCAGGGAAGTGACAACTCCTGGGCAGACTATGCCACAGCTCTCCAAACACTCTCCCTGCTTATGGAGCACCCGCTACTTCAACATTCGTTTATTTACTGTGCTTCAAATACAGAAACTTTACCAGGACAAATCGACGGGAGGAGACCATATGAAGACTCACGTTCACGGGGATGTTTTCGAGTCCTAAAACTAAACTGTGCTCCTGAGCCAACCTGTTCATAAATAAAACTTTTGATGAATCCAAGTCAGTTGCGGCTTGCCCTTCTTATCTGTCCATCGCCCCTTCCTTTTGTAAATCTACAGTTTCTACACATTAGCTCTCGGAAAATGCTATTGTATAGATATGCATAGCTATGTTGGTTTTGTTTTTCAGGTTTTGTCATAGGGCATGTGCACAAACTGGAGAGAGACAGAGAGAGAGAATGTTAGAAATCACCCAGGACATGGCCATATAGCAACCCCTTCTTTTTCCATTCTCCTCTTGGGATACTGAGCATGCACAAACGCACGCCTGGCGTGATTTTCAAGCTGATGGGTCTGGGACTTGAACCATGGTTCGACATGTAAGAATCCAGTACCTTAATTATCATGCCACCTACTGGCCCCCATCACTGTGGTTAAAAAGCTGAAGGAAATCTGGATCCATTCGAAATCCCACTAGGAATCCAGGCCCTCCTGTTGAGCAAAAGCACATGCAGAGGTCCAAAGAAAGGACAAGCACACCAAGGGAAGAGCAGATGAGGCCAGCACGGAGCATGGCTGCTCGCCTTCCTTCTCAAGGAAATATCAAGGTGGCCATTAAGAGTCCGGACCTACAACTGTGCGTGCTTCTGAAAGAAGGCAGGACAGCATGGCAGAGAGCCCAGACATGGAGGCCAAATGTTAGGCTCACACATCCCCTTCTGCTTGCTGTCTAACAGCAGTGTTACCTCTGGCCCCTGACCCACTGACTTTGAGCTTCTGTTTCCTCATCTGGGAAATGGGCCGAGAGTTGCTCTAGACATGCATGGAGACAATGGCACATGGCAGCACATTTAAGGGTTAATCGCTACAGTTCACAGAAATATTCTAAGTGTCTCTGGGAAAAAATGCAAAGATCACATTTGTGGATTTTATGCAAATTAAATATTTAACATCTCTGGTGCTTTATATTTTTATTCTTCTTACCATAATTATATAAAGAAATGTAATGAGCGCTTTCCACCAAGCCTCAGCACACACTTCAATTGCTTCCAGTTTCCCTCAGGCTGTTGTGTAAACACTATCAACATCTATGCGTGCCAAGATGTGGAAAAAGCTGGGCAGGCCTGCCCTAACGCAAGGAGCTGACAGAAAGCAGAGCAGATACGCATTCAGCATCTGAAAGCCAGAAAGTGACAGGGAGGTGTTTGTTCAATGAATGAGTGAGCGGATGACTGAATTAGACTCTGACCTGGAGACAGACGAGGAGGAAAGAGGTACAAGGTACAGACACAAAGCCAGTTCCACCGTGTGGGTTGCCTCCTGGTGTGTGGGAGGCCAGAGATAAAGCACAAACCAGAGAGGCACCAAGTTTTGAGAGAATTTAAAGCAAAAATTAACAGCAGCAGCAATAACGTCCTCAAATAAGCACACTTGACCCTTGAACAACTGAAGTTTGAACTGCATGGGTCTACTTAGACATGGACTTTTTTCAATAAAAATATTGAAAAATATAGTATAGTACTATAAATGTATCTGCCCTTCCTTATGGTTTTCTCGACACTTTCTTTTCTCTAGCTTATTTTACTTGAAGAATATAGCATCGAATACACATAACATACAAAATATGTGTCCACACACCATTTGTGACCGGTAAGCTTCTGGTCTACAGTAGGTTATTAGTAGATAAATTTTGGGGTATCAGAAGTTATATGTGGGGACCAGCAGATGGCACAGTGGTTCTGTCCCTGACTCCCACATGGCTGACCATAGTTTGAATCCTGGATCTGGTGGCCTGAAAATCATGTCAGGAGTGTGTCCGCGCGTGCCCAAGATCCCAGGAGGAGAACGGAAGAGAAGGGATTACGGCATGGCCATCCTCCTGGGGAGGAGGGCAGGGGGGTGATTTCCCTACTCATTGTGTCTGTCTCACTGTCTCTGTCTCTCTCTTCAGTGAGTATATTTACCCCAAGGCAAAGATCTCTTAAGAAAATAGTTACATGTGGACCTTCAATTGTAAGGGGGAGGAGTCAGAGCCCATAGCCCATGCATTGTTCAAGAGTCAGCTGTATCATGCTATTACCCAACTTGCACACCTAGGCCACTCTTCAGAAAACTCTCACATAGTAATCTGCGGTCTGAGTGCTGTCTGCTGTGTGTCTAATGTACTGCTTACCACTTACCGCTTATTAATAGAGTAATACAGAGGGTTAGTCGGACCTTGATAACTTTACGTTACCTAGCAACCAAGAAAATCCTATATCCAAGTAAAATAAATTATTCTCTTAAAACACTCAAGAAAGCTTACATAGAATTGTCTAATGTCTCCTAAGAGAGTAATGCTGATCCATGAGGAACTCATTTGTCACTGTCTCTTCTAGATGGTCATCAGGGCTCCAGCCAGCACGTGACACACTGGGTTTGGCACGAGACACTCCCAGAGCTCCCGCTCGCCGCACCGGTGACCACTCTAGGCTATTTGCTGCACAGTAAGACAACTCACCGGTCAAACCTGACCCCTGACTTCACCCCACCCATTCTTTCAGTCACCCAAACTTGGCAACCATGTGACCTGGAGATCGCTCTCACATCCCACATGTGTCCAGAAGCATTTTGTGTCAGCTCC